GATTTCGCTCTCGTAGATACAGGACATGACGTTTGGCGGCGTGTTCTCGTCACTGGAGGTGTCTTCGACGTACAGACGCCTGCGGCGAACCGCTGAATAAACTGGATTCGTCATCCTTCAAAGCAACATAAGCGTTCATTAGTATTGGCAAGCAAACAATACGGTTTATAGGATGCAACGAACCTCCCCAGCACGATGCCGCTGTCGGCTTCACCCCTTCAGCCGCGAAATCGAAAGTGATTTCGTTTCAAGCGTGGCGGAAGATATATGCTTCAAGTTAAGTCAACTGAGTGCATGTTACATACACAGGAGTGATTGTAATCATAAATTATACAAATTTCAAGATAAAACGTTATGATGGCTACACAACATAACTTGAGGGGTAGGGGATTCTATTGACACGATATTTACGCCTCCGGGTCGGGTATGCGCGTCTAAGCCTCGACTTATCTGCTGCAAGTAAGTCGGTCGTCTAAGTGATATTTGGCAGGCGCCCACTGCAGTTTTAAGATGCAATATTTTAAGCAAGGAAGTCTAAGCAAGTAAACTCTATCAGTATCTATCAGTAAAAAAAAAACTGGTTGAGGTGATTCTAGGTCATTCTTTACTGTATCCAAACTCGATTCGACTCAACCCTCACCACGCTTCGAGAACGAGGGTGCATTTGGAGTGCATCGCCACTATGCTTCCGCTCACACTGGACACTATGGGGATCGCGTTCATTGATTTATTCCATGAATCTTCCTTAGATGGGCAAGCCAGGCCTCATATCGAATATTTTCCTTCCGGATGGCCCTTGCATTAAGACGTCCTCTAAATCTCTGCAGCAACTTGGCGACGAATCTTTCTTCGTCGATCTCATTTTCGTCGGATGCAGGCTTCTCGACACGCCGCAGCAACCGTTCGCCATTTAGATTGGTTGGCTCGACAATCTCAAGCGAAGTCTTGGCCTTCGCCTCGTCGAGTGCCGTGCTACTGTCGTAAAGCGTGGCCGCAAATACCATTACGACGATATAAGCGAAGCGCATGTGAAAAATGAGAAGCTGGTTTTAGGATAGAGGATGCCTTGTCGGCTACGGAGTGAATCGCCGAATGAAGTGCCCGGATGTAATGATCTGCACGTGCAAGAGCAGAACACAACCGCATCATCAGTTGAGTCCGCACACAGAGAGCACAAGTCGTCGCCTGCATACTCACCGGTTGTGCCAGCTCCTGCTCCGGCACGCCTCAGCCAACCACTTCATGTTTAGGATCGAGCGCCACGAGGGCGCCCTCGGGTAGATGGATAGCAGCAACCAGACAAAGACATCAATTCAGTTTCCATTTTACTCGCAACACAACAAGCACAACCAGAACCTTACACCGGAACTCTATTTCAACATCCAGAGATAGTTAAGTTTACTATACAACTCACTGCTACACACGCGCCGTAATACAGCTTATCTCGCAAGATAGCGAGCCGTTAGAGTGTCTGAGTGATTTGAGCTTGTCAATGCAGCGCTTCGGTCGACGATTGCCGAGTTGTACAACTTAACACCGCACAGACCATGAATTCGCCGATAGAAGACAGCACCTCTAATGACAGGCAGTGGTTAAGTGGTCGATAACAGTGTAAGTATCGATGACATATGCGAGTAAGTTACCTCATAGTCCATCCTCCGTCGGAGTAAGCGCCTAATGTTGCGTATCGTACGCTTTTGC